AAATTTTAAAACCAATGTAGTTATTTAAACATATATTTAAATGATAAAATTATTTTCTATTACTAGGTTTATCAAGAGTTACAAGAAATTTGGTGGCCCTCTTGAAAGGTAAATTTGTTTGATTTCTATTTGTATAGCAAATTCAAACCTTGTTTTCATAAAAATTAGAACAATATATCAAGAAACCTTAGGGAGAAGAGAAACTACAGTGTCAAGTCTTTTTACCTTGACTATAACATCTTCCCTTTCCTTATGTATGGTATGAATGCAAACAGCCATGCAACAAACCTTTCGGTTTGTAGGACTGCTTACTCTTTCTTTATATATACTTTACCTGCTGTCTTGTTCAGTCTTCATTGGTGATAAACATTCATTTGTTTGTTTGATAGCCTGTTGAAAGTTTATCAGTTTATCCACGGAGACCATCAAAGTTAGTTTTGTACTTTCCTTATTGTCAGTTATTATTTCTAAGCTTTCTTCATAATTCAGTATTTTAAGAAAAAACTTCCCATCCTTACTTTCCTTAAAAATATTTATAGTCCTTAAAAACGTATTATATATAATGATTCCTTTTCTTTTTCAAAAAAAGATACACAGTAATTTAACTCCTTTACAGTTCTTGTTCTATTGTTCTCTGATACCTGAATCACTTTTTTTTTCTTGTTTCAAAATTATACGCAGCATAGCAAGTGCAGTTGACCAACAGCTTACATGATCATTTCTCTAGTTTCAAAGTCTGTAGGAGTCCTTCACAATTAATGAAGTTTCAGACCTATAAAAATATGTATTTGTTTTATTACAGGTTAGATGCTGTAGCTAGAGACGCTGAGTTGGTTGATAAATCAGAGACAGATCTTAGACGTTTGGGAGAGCTTGTACATAATGGATGCATTAAAGCTTTAAAGGACAATTCAACTGGACAAGAAAGAGCAGGTACAGTGTGTTCAGGGGGCTTGGAGGACAATAAGAAATATCAGATCTTAATTCTTGCACTCTGATAGTAGCAGAAAATGGTTTTGTTGGGGGAAAATATAAACAGTGCTTGTATGTTGGGTAATTTTGAAAAAGGATTATAGTAAGATGTCTTCTTTTTTTTCCCCTTTCTGTGTGTGAATTGTCATTGGAGAATGCAGTACACTTTTGCTTTACTTTGAAATTTAAAAGTAATCTGTTACTATCTGGAAGACCCTTTGATTCTGGAGTTTAATTCAAGCATTTTTTTAAGAAAAAAATAATTTGATATAATTGTAAGTTCTCTGCTCTAGCATCAGTTTTACTTGTTTTCTTTACATTTTTCTGTATGATATCTATAAATGTAAATATTTTAGTAGCCTTGTCATTTATTTTAAGGAGGTAGACTTGGGAAAGTTAAAGGCCCAACATTCCGAATCTCAGGAGTGCAGGTGAATGCAAAGCTAGTCATCTCTCATGAAGAAGAGTTGGCACCATTGCACAAATCCATTCCTTCAGATCCAGAAGAAAGAAAAAGGTATTTTTGTTTTGTTTTCTTTAAAGAAAGTAGTAATGTAGAAGAGTTTTAAAGTTTTATTAGCTTTTTGCAGACAACCTTGACTTGAAGCATACTGTTACCGTATTGCCTCTTTGTCTCCTGTAATATCTGACAGCGGTAACCTGCTCCACATCTGTTTTTCTTTCTTCCCTTGCTG